TGGGAAATATTAAGTTTGCACTTCTCTAGTAATTAGGAGGCTAGAAGGCAAGTCTTCTTTTCTATCCTTCTCTCTTCATCCCCCCTTTCAGAAGTTATTCTTAACTGTCGATTCTACCCCACGTTACAGTACATACACATCGTCAAGATGCTCGAGTTCTTCACGTACAAGAAAATCAAGAAGCACCGGGAGGAAAAGGCCGAGAAGCAACGGCTAGAAAAAGAAGAGGGAAAAGACAAGGGCAAAGGAAAGGAAGTGGAGGACGTTACGAAGGCTAAAGCCGAGGTCTCACAATCCGAGTCCTCAAGCTCTCCCGATATTGTCTTGGAGCGGGCAGAGGGTATGCCAATCCTGGACCAGGAAGATGAAAAGTTCCTCGAGCGGCTTACCTCCCCGTCAGACGCCAGCGCCCATAACGCTAATGGCGACGGCGACGATGAGACGCCACCACCTTTACCTCCCCGCGTCAAGACTCCCGTGATCGAGCTGGAGGACAGCGACGCCTCTAGCTTCGCCAGCAAAGATGAGCAGCAGGACCTTTCTCCCTCCGCCACTTCCAAGGACGAAGGCAAAGGCAAAGGCAAAGACGAAAAAGAGAAAGAAAAGGAAAAATCTGACGGCGAGAAGACCAAGCACAAGCGCTTCTCCTTCGTAACGAACCTATCCCGCAACATCTCGCTCAAGCGCAAGCCCGGCGACAAGCAACACCAAGACCACAAACACAAACACGCGGACCACCTGACGGTCCCCGACGCCACCACATCCTCCGACCCAGACAAGGAAGCCCAGAAGGAAGAAAAAGACATGGCGCGCGTGCTCTCGGACCTGAACCTCGCGGCCTCCATCGACAACCGCGCCTTCAGCCTCTCGCGCGAAAGCGCCGAAACGCTGCGCGCATTCACGCAAGTCCTCAAGGACCTCGTCAACGGCGTGCCGACGGCCTACGCCGACCTCGTGCACCTCATCGAGGACCGCGATGGCGTGCTCGCGCGGTCCTACGAGAAGATGCCCAAGGCCCTCAAGAAGCTCGTCGCGCAGCTCCCCGACAAACTGACCTCCTCGCTAGCCCCCGAGCTCCTGGCCGTGGCGGCCGAGGCGCAGGGGTTGAACGAGGGGGCCGGGGTCGGGGTGAAGAAGCTGCTCAGCGCGGGCAACCTCATGGAGCTCGTGACGAAGCCGGGGGCCGTGGCGGGGCTGCTGAAGGGCATCGTGAACGCGCTGAAGACGCGGTGGCCCGCGTTCGTGGGGACCAATGTGCTGTGGAGCGTCGCCGTGTTTTTGTTGTTGTCCGTGCTGTGGTATTGTTATAAGAGGGGCCGCGAGACGCGGTTGGAGAAGGAGGCTGTGGATGCTGCTGCTGTGGTGGACCGCGAGGTGGAGGAGGTGGATGAGGAGGGAAAGAAGATAGGGGAAGAGGATATGGGGGAGGGAGAGCCGAGGAAGGAGATTGAAGGGACTGCGTTGCTTGTCGAGGAGGTGCGCGATGGGCCGATTCAGCAACCCGCCGTGTCTCTGTCCAGCCCGGCCGTGGTGTCGACACCGGAGAATGGGAAGAAATAAGCCCGGAGTAGAACGAAACTCATAGCCTTGAGAAACGAAAAGGTAGAAGGGGGCGGGGCAAAACTGCCAATTGCGCACGAGGTCACGAATATTTCACACGAGTACGATGGATGGACGGTTATGAATGATTACGGCGATACCCGATGATGGCAAGGTTACACACGAGGAATATATATATAGATTTCGTTTGTGGTAACGGATAGGAATTCAAGAAGTGTAATGGGTAATGGTAATAGGGGCTATTGCGCCGGGGTGTCTGGGTTATCTACCTACATATAGCTAGGTAGACGATAAAGTAAAATTACACTCCTTCGAAAATTGAGTTGATGAATGCGAAGTGAGTATTTATCAAGTACTCCTCTTAGCTTACCTGTTAGGGTGAAGACCAGTGATAAGTCACATCATCTATGTAGACCGATATCCTTCCCGTAGGCAAGTATGGTATCTCATTGATTTATTACGTAGGTAGCTGACCTAGCTACATCTCGGTAGGTATCTAGCCATGGCAGCCCTGTACGCCAGATCAAACCGTAACAACCAAACCTCAAACCTCAAGCCTCAGAATACATCGCCGAAATCATCGCGTCCTCACTTCCTCACATAATCAAATCCCCCGTACCAAGCTGGACGTTAGTTAGACCTACTAGACTTGTGCTTGTAATAAGCCACCCCCCGGCGAGGACGCAGCGAAGCGATGCGGCGAGGAACAGCCGTTGCAACCGGCGCAGTCGGCTCAGTCGGCGCGGCGGTTGTAGTCGGTGCCGTCGTGCGAATCTCCTTCCCATCGGACAAGCCCTAATCGTCCTGCACGAGCTCCTTGATCTCCTCGCGGCCGGGCGCGATGCCCGCCGTCGTCTCCGCCTTGCCGTCCCGGCCGCCCGTGCGGTCGATCACGCGCGCGCCGTCGCGCATCCAGAAGTCCACCTCGTCCACCACGTCCGCCACCACGTCCTCCACGATCTGCTCGTCGTAGCGCTCCGATACCGGCCGGATCTTATCTAGCTTCGACGAGGCTACTTTGACCGTGTCCGTGTCCACCATGTCCACGTCGCCGTCTTCGTCGGCGTCGAGCATATCCGGCGGTGGGAACCAGAAGTGCGGGCCGAAGTTGACTTCGGCTGCGCCGCCCCGGAATACGCTGATCGCCGGATAGTACCCTGCCATACCGTCGTCCATGCCCTCGCGTGCGCCAACTTGGACCTGCGGCTTCGAGGCCGGAGGAAGGAAGGCTAGGAGATCCGTAAAGGGTGTGCCCATTAACACGCCGTTCTTGTAGATCCTAATACACGACTTAGGTAGCGTGCGTAAAGCAGGGACTTGGTGATGCGGGTTCGGCTTGTCAGCTGGTCTGCTACCTATAGTGCCTGAAGGCCCCGCAGGTGACGGGTTCATTAAGTCCTCCAGCTCTTTGGTTGTGTGGTAATCGATCTTTTCGAGGTAGATGTGCTGCTTAAAGCGGATCGGTATTCGGTCGCGGACGATATTAGCCGCCTCTATGTTCAGCTCCTCCTCGTCTAGCAAGTCCACGGCCGGGTTATATTGGCCTTGGACGACCTTGCGATGTAGGTGCTCGGAAGGAAGCTGGATCTCAAGTCCGATTACGTCGCCCTCCCTGATCTCCTCGCCGGGAGGGAAGAAATCCTTGGGCCGCGACATGTGGACTTTCTGGCCTTGCACATCTCGGATGCCGTAGCTGTATGCGTCGAACCCGACGGGTGCGTCTAATGAAGACTCGCGTCTGGCAAAGCCCATACGCACATGGCCATTGGACTGGATGTTTCCATCACTGTTGCTCTTAATGTTACCTCGCGTGATCTTGCATTCCCAATACCATCGACCCTGTCGCACCGCAACATTAGCTCTTGCCGTCCGGAAGCCCTTATCTGTTGTGATGTGTCGTCCTTGTTGGTCCATGTACATGTGAGTCGCGGCATCTTCGAAGCTAATATGGGCACCGTAGGGTTCGGGTTCCGTCTGGCGGTAATAGAAGGATGAAGGGAAGGCAGGATCAGCTATGCAGTGTAGGTAGTGATAGCTCTTCTTGTTGTAGACACTATACGTAGGTTAGTAATAGGCAATGGGGACGCGATAGTTGAATGCGACGCACTGTTCAGAGGTCTCGTAGAACTGGATGGTAGAACCATCTGTGGTGGAGACTTCGTGGTGAGCAGTGAAGACGGGACCTCTTGCAGTCTCGAAGTCGGATAGTCTCGGAGGCGCCAACTTATAGCGCAGAGGCGACGACTCGTTTGGCGGGAGCTCCTTGATCTTGGGGTCGGGAGTTGCTCTAGAACTATCGGCACCAAGGCCACCCTTGGTTTCTCGCTTCTTCAGCGTGTCTTTCTTATTCCTAGCCGGTTTTTCACGCGCCATAGCTGCTATGTCGTCATGCGACTGAGATTTATTAGGTTTTACATCGAGGTTGGGATTGAGAGGAGAGGAAACTGGGGGCGCGTGGTCGTCCTCGAGAGGTCGTTTCTGGGGAACGGATACGGGGAGGACAGGTACGGGCACTGGGGTAATTTGCCGTTTTGGTAAATCCACATCGGTCGCCATGGTAATTTATGGTAAAATTTTAGAGGGGAACGAAAAACTCAATTCACTAGTTACTAAGTTTACGGGTTATTTTTCGAGAAAATTAGGACGCAACGACAAGTTTTCGACCTGATAGCTGGGGACGACAAACGCGAGAAGAATGTAGTTGGAGTTTGTTAAGTAACAGAACCTTACTGCGGCTCTAAACTTTGAGGTCCCCGGCTGCATTACTAGCTAGGTGCGCATAGTACCTTCCGATCCTACCTTAGCCTGCCTAGCGCCGTACCTTCGGGTATTTTTACAGTTTGGTTTGTCGACGCCCATTATTCAGGCTTCAACTGCCCACTAATATATGGTTTTGTCTTCACCTAGGCAGTTATTTCCTTTCACTTACGCACTAACGCCGTTCGCACTTGATACTTGATAGATCGAATTGCGCGATATGAGTCTGGTAATAGAGGCTTAAATATGAATGATACAAACCTTCCAAGGCTTCAATTATTGCTCAATTACGTATTCAGAACCATGAGATCTGTCCCAATCATTTAATCCGAAGCGCAATTCAATAGTGTATCTATCACCATGATAGTAGTACCTACGAATTGATGATTGAAGAATAATTTTCTCACTATACTCGATATTCATCGCTGACACGGATACTCCCTCCTCCGCATGTGAAAAAGCAAAAGGATAGAATACAAAACGTACAAATGAAAAAGACGAATTGTCGCTCGTCCGGGAAGCAGCATGAACACGTCCCACGCCCCATAACGAGAAGATGTGCGTGCGTGTGTGTGTGCCGTGCGCAAAAAAAAGCAATGGGCGCCGAATCAGAACGACAAGCTCGTTTTTTCACAAAAAATGAAAACCAACTCAATAAGAGCTGGAAACAAAATGAAGACATGCGACCACCACGGGACTCGAACCCGCAACCTCAGTCTTTCACTACCTATACATAGCGGTAAACGCTACTTATAGGAGGACCGCGCGCTACCATTGCGCCAAGCAGTCTTCGGACAACAGGCGCCAATTGTGACTCGTGCCACTCAAAGCAGCTGTTGACGGTGAATTCTGGCATGTTAACAGGCTTTATAAGCTAAGCCCACACCTAGTACTAATGGTGCTGAGGGGTTCGGATTCATATGGTGGCTCGTGCGTCTAGTATAGCTTCCAGTATGTGAGACATCCATGGATACTATAAGTGCTACTTTAGTAATAGTAACTGGAATCAAATCGGATTGTAGAACGTAGCGCTGGAAGATATTGGTTGCGTCATCGGTGCTTGCAATTGGTTGCGGACTTCCCAGGTGGTAACGGAATCCTTGTTGCGGGGTGGAGTCTACATACACCTGTAACTGTTGAAGGCTGCAGAGTTGTGTATAAGAAATAAGAATATTAAATCATAAATGTCCTTGTTTATCTACTATGTAGATGAAAGGACAATGCACCAGGCAGTATCTCTGGATCCAAGCTTCGAGTAGGGAGTAAATCCCTTGAGTCGCGGTGCAGAATATTGAGATACAAGCCAGATGCATCCTGCCATAGATTTCAGCTGGCTACGGAGCCCTAGCAGGCATAAAACAATACCAAATCCAGCTAGAGGTGAATCCGATATTGCCTTGGGCCATATGCTCTCAAACACGTTTGCTCCGTAAGCGTCTTTGAATCATTTGATCTGCTTAAATTTTTTCAACTCGAATACCGTCTTTGGTCTCAGAGTACTGCCTCAGTATCGACGTTTTCCCCTGACTCGCTCAAGTCTACCAGACATGTTGCAACGGCATAATCCCCATCGTGACTGATACTAACGCGCCCAAATTTTCTGTAGGGCCCGCCGTTGTTAATGATAGCTATCAGCGGGCCGGGTTGATACGATTCCTTTTGTGGTAGAGAGCCAGGCGATGAGGCTTCAGGTTCGTCTTTGAAATGCGCAGAGGGCTCTTCATTCTCTTGTGACGCAGTCAGGGAGTGCTCGTGAGTGATAACAATATCCCGGAAGGTAAGCTTGCGCAGCGTATAGGCTTTAATAGTCGCTTCCTTGGCTGCGAACCTGGTGTAGTTAATAAACAAATGTGAGCCATCATCTCCTTTGAACCTGCTCACGCTCGGATAGGCTCGCTGACGTACCTGCCAGCTATGTATTCAGCTGCCCTTTCGAGCTTTGAGGAATCAGATTTCTCAAATTTCTCACGCCCATAGTCTTGCGTCAAGATGCTCTTGGGTATATTACGAGCTTGAGCCGCACGTATCTCTTCTTGGGTGAGGATGCGATGCACAAATCTATCGCCCTTGGCACCACTTAGGATCCTATAGATTCTATTGATTTTGCAAATGTCGGTGCCAATACTTATTGAAGGAAGTCTGGCAAAAGGCATAATAAACGAAAAGTTAACAATCCCACAGGGATCATAACCATATGAATTGAGGGAGTGATCGTAAAGTTGAAGGTTTAATCACATGATAGGTATAAATGAACAAAATGTCTAGTCCAGGTACAGGTATATCATGTCTACAACTGCACATTAACCAACGTTATCGTTATCGCTGACAGGCACTTACAGTGTGTGGCAGAAAGTATGTATCAAGTTGAGATAGGTTGGTACATTTTTGGCTATCTACTAGTCTCGAGACGAAAAGGTTATTGATTTTGATTAGAGTAGTATTATTTGCGTAATGGGTGGTGTACTATTTGTGCAGTATTCCAGGTCTGCCAGGTGGCACTTATTTACTTATCTTCACACTCATTTTGTATGGCTGGATAAGTATCTCCCATGCCTAAAGCTGCTCTGACAGCTAGGAATCATAGAAATAGTTATAACTTTATATGTAGGAAGGCTATAAACTGATAATTAGTTTTATTCAATCGCTCTCGATTTAGTGATTCTAAATATATAATTTTATATGATGCATCGCTGTTTTGGCCGAGATATCGTTGAATGAAGTTAGGGCTGCTGTTGCTGACCTGCGATTAAGGTTTTCGATTTTGACTGATTGCGATAGCGACGCTGGTTTTATTTGACGATATCTTAGCTAAAACGGCGATGTAGCTTATGAAACATATATATTTGGAATTGCTGGATTAAGCGTTATTCAGTAATACTAATCATTAATTGGAGACGATTTTGGATATGAAGTTATGGCTGATTATTTAATTCTTGGCTGTCAGAGCGGTTATAGGCATAGGAGATACTTATTTAGCCTATCATTTTTGGTGGGCTGGCAGGTACCTGTCATGCCAGCTGGCCGACCCGGAATACTGCGCAAATAGTATACCACCTATTGCGTAAATAGTACTACTTTTTGATTATGTTAAAGACTTTATTTAATAGCATTACGAGCCTAGCAATGCATGATACGAAACTGATATTCCTAAAATTGCTGTATTAATGGCTTCTAAACAATATAATTTTTGAATAAAGTGAAAAGCCTAATCTAAAGTTATATTGAATTATATGAGCCTAGTGAAATAATAATGCGTGTTAGCTAGGAATGTATTAATCTATCTCAACTTGATACATACTTCCTGCCACCTACTGTAATTGCAGCACTCTTTGCATTCAGGACGGAATATTGGGTATCGTCTCTTTTCCCTTTTTTCAGTCTTTCTTTAGATTATTAAGTACCTCCCGAATAAGATGCTATGAATCGCCACATGATTAATTGGTGCAATGGTCTACCGTGAAGACATCAATTTCAGACCTTTTTTTTCATAACGGATCTCGCTCCCCAAATCCCATCAACGCCGCGCATCAACCGAGCTTTGAAAATGGGCGCCTAGAATGAGAGACTGATAGTCTACAAGCACCACCATCATGTAAATGAGCAGAGATATTAATTGCATCACCTCTCAATTACCGTCCCCATCCTTCTCTAGTACGGACGACCTTATGGATCTCCTGCTAGAGTCATTTTGAGGATCCATCAATTACTCACCCAGAAGCGGTGCGCGCTCGGTATCGCTCTCCCGCGCCCTCGCGAACTTGGAGTTTCCTCCCGTCGCAGCGGGTACAGCAACGACGACAGTGGCGATGAAGAGAATCGCCATGATGATGAAGGCGAAGATCCACTGGAACGCAATGACCTGTCGGAAGAATTGCGCGACTCCGATCGCAGCTGATAGGACGCTCAGGTTGAAGCCCATGGTGTAATCCTGGCACGCGTTAACGACTTATCATAAAGTATAAAAAAAGCTTTGCCGGACTACTAACCTTATAGACAATGACGAAGAACAAGCCATAGGCCAGGATCGACCAGATGAAGATATTACCAAAGATACGCGCGACAAGCGACTCCGAGTTCGGCACCATGATAGCGCCGTTCCAGTAGATCGCGACGAAAGTCCACGCCAGGGGTCCGGACACGACGGGCCAGTGGATGAATCGAGCGTAGCCCGGGTGCCGGAAGTAGAGCGACGACAGGTTGATGAAGTTGAGGATGATGAAGAGCTCGGCCCAGCCGAAGTAAGAGCGCACGAAGAGCATGACGAAGGCGAAGTGGAACAGGTTGTTCAGGATGAAGTGGCTTCCCACGGAGCATGCTGAGTTCAGACGCTCCACGTTGGTGGAGAAGAGGTGGGCGATGTAGCCTCCCTGGAGGATGAAGAGGACGATCCTAAGAAAAGGGTGTCAGAACGGTATGGAACTATACAAACCATTTATTTGCAACTTACCAGTAGATGCTAGCGATGATGTGGTTCATCCGGAACGCGGTGTGGAAAGCATCGTTCTGCTTCCATATCTTCCGACGAGCCCAGACGCCATCATGGGGTTGATGGAAGGTGTAGTAGACGGAGACGATGATGGACAGCAACCAGGTGACGGTAGTCAAGATCTTGTCTATTAATAGTTAGTATCCATCCACGATCCCAAGAATGCCTCTCCAGCAGTCGTAGCCATCCGATCGATGGAGAGGTAAGAATATACGAGACTAGAGGATACTGCGACATACTAGCGCCAAGTCAGCTATCATCAAAGGCAATGATATACTAAGTGATGAGAATATTCAACACATACCATGTGACTACCGTGGTCTTGGTGTGGCTATCGCGCTTCGCGAATGGATTGACTAATCGGTCAATTAGCATAAATTCCTCCATTCAATTCGCAAGCTGCGAGTTGGCGCACGTACGATGATGAATTCGTTCCATTGTGGCCTCTGTTGAAGTCCGATGTGAGAAGTACTTAGGTTGTAAGTGAGACTCTCAAGCAGGGGGTTGTGCTCTAAATATCCGGACCACTTCTAAGTTGTCGAGGCCGAATTCCCAAATCAGGGGTTCAAATGGGTATTACAAGGAAGAGTATGAGGAAGAATGAGAAAGGGGACCCGAATGGTTTTAAAGTATTGACAGGTCGATACACAAAAGTAATTAACGACTGGTCTTGTCATTCCATCCAACGACCTTGAAGGCCCCAGCCCTTGGTCTGCTTGGATGACGATGGTGGGGTCCCTTTGTACTGGGTCTCTGCATTGATGTGCGGGGGAAGCTAATGGGTGGATATGTATAGTGGGTACTTGTAAGTGGTGACGTTGATAGGTACCAGTTCCTGAGGCAATGTAAGAAATGCACCCATTTTTTGTTCCTACATAATACATATCTGACTCTTATCCTCCCCCTCTGCCTCACCGAGTTCATGCTGTACCGCTGAAGCAGGATTTTACCCCCCTTCACCTGCAGCTGAGGGCATGAAACACGGACAAGGACAGCCTATGAAGTCCAGTTCCTCACCACTTACGCAGCCCGCGGGTTGTTACATTAGTGGCAAATCAACGTCTTTAAACCCACTGTTAAGACCTTGGACTACGCCGTGTCTGTATGATATATGAAATTATTACCGGAGTTAGACAAATGAGAGGGAAGGATTGCGCGAGTGTCGGTTTCGAAACGTATCTGCTTTAGGTAAGTGGATGGGCTTCGATGTTCTTCGTAGTAAGGCTGTAGGAAGTCTATGACGCTGCAGTCCTACGCATACGAATTACGAAGGATAGACGTAATGCCGCGTTTGACCGCGCCA